AGAGAGAGAAGAAAAAGGGAGAGAGAGAGAGGAAAAATGGTGTTGAATTAGGCAGAACGACATATTTATTACTCTTTCAGTTATTTTAATAGTTTGTGGACACGGTAATGGAATCAGTCAAAGGTGACAGTTCCGGTGGTATCAATTAAAAGATTGAGAATGAAATGAGTTATTAGAGTGAAGTGTAAAAGGAAAATTATAAAAAAAGATTAAAAGGGGAACGATTAGCTTATGTCCCAGGTGTGAGGTTCTCGATCCCGTCTCATTTATGTGTTTATTTTGTCTTATTAAGAATGATTTTTGATTTGTAATTAGTAGGAAAAAGAAAGAAGATATAAAGTAGATTATTTAAGAATATTGCTTATTTAAATCAAATTTTAAATTTAAATTGTTTATTGCTAAGATTGACATTTAAATGATATGCCATCCGTTCATTATTATTCGTTTATTGAATAAAATATTCCTCAACAGTGGAATGAATTTATTTCCACAACCACGAGCCATAAAGACCGTTAGGCTACATAACCCGCATAAAAAATAATTTTATAGGCCTACATTGTGTTTATGAAATTTCCATTAATACGACGACGGTGCAAAAATGATGATGGTAATAAAGATGATAATAATGATAATGATAATCACACTGATGATGACAATAAGAATGATAATTATATTAATGGTAATAATATTAATCATAATCATATTAATGATTACACTAATGATAATGATGGTAATAATCACACTGATGATGACAATAAGAATGATAATTATATTAATGGTAATACTATTAATCATAATCATATTAATGATTACACTAATGATAATGATAATGATGATAATAATAATGATTTTAATAATGGTATTAATAATAGTATTAATGCTGATATCAATAAAGGTAGTAATGATAATTATTATAAAAATAATAATAATCATAATCGTAACAATGATGATAATAATAATGATAATAATAATAATAATAATAATAATAATAATAATAATATAATGATAATTGATATAATAATGATAATGATAATGATAATAATGATAATGATAATGATAGTAATAATAATGATGACAGTAGTAACAGTCATAATAATTTTAATGATAATCATGACAATAATAATGTTATTGATGATACAAGTAATAATGATAATAATTATAATGATAATAGTAGTTACACTATTAATAACAATAACAATAATAATGATAATCATCATCATCATCAATCATCATAATAGTAATAATAATAATAATAATGAAAATGATAATGACCATAATGATAATATCTGTAATGATAATTACATAATCATGATAATAATAATAATAATGATAATAATGATAACAAAATAATGATGATAATAATAATAGTGATAATAATGATAGTCTTAACGCCAGTAATAATAATAATAGTGATGATAATAACAATGATAATGATTATTATATTAATAGCAATGATAATAATAATGACAATGAGGCTGATAATGATGTTAATAATAGTGATGATAGTAATGATAATAATGATAGTAATAATAGCAATAACGATATAGTAATGATAACAAGGGTAATGACAGTAACAATAGTGATAATGATAATGATAGTAATAATAAAAGCGATGATAATGATGATGATAAGAATGATCTTTAATATCATGACGATGGTTATGATAACAACAATGTTAATTATAATGATAACGGTAACAGTAATAATGATAATAATAATGATATTGATGATGACAATGGTAATGAGAGTGATATTAATGATAATGATAATAACGATAATGATAGTAATAATAATAGTAATAACAATAAAAATAAACTAAATAATTGGAAAAAGGCATGAAAGGCATATTAGAAATAGTTTCCATTTCAAAACTTATACAGATAATTCGTCAACAAAAGTCAACTTGCTCTTAATTTAATAAAGGTTATAACACACACACGCACGCGCACACACACAAACACACACGCGCACGCACATATATACATATAGGCCTATGTATCTCTATATTTATATATATACATATTTATTTATTCATCTATTTATCTGTAATTGCCACGAGAATTTTTGTTATCATCATTATTATAATTGTTATTACTAGTAGTAGTAGTAGGTGATAATCTTGATTAATCAAAATCATAAATGAAAATCTTACGCGGCCGCAAGACAGGATGCTCACTTTTGCACGCAAACGGATACATGCAGTGCGAACACACACACACGCACACGCACACGCAACGCACACGCACACGGACACGGACACGGACACGCACACGCACACACACACACACACACACACACAACACACAACACACACAACACACACACACACACACACACACACACACACCACACACACACACACACACACACACACACACACACACACACACACACACACACACACACACACACTCGCGCGCTCACTATAATTCCACAAACCTCTAACTAACCCTTTGACTCACAGCTGCAGCCTCTCTACCGGAAGTCTTCCCCCAGCCGCGTCCCTCGAAAAGCCCCTTCTCGTCTAGGCGTTCCCAGCGACCTCGCCCTCGAGTCCTCGCAGTCCGGAAGGTCTCGAGTCCTGCCAGTTGCGTCCAAGCCAACTGAATCCGATTGCCTGCGAGCGCTGGCGGAAGGAGCCGCGGCGCTCGCAATTCGCGCCATGGCGTCCTTCGATGAACTGGCGCAGGAGCTGGAGACGCTGGGCCTCGAGCAGCACGACGAGTGGGCGCAGGCCGGCGTCGAGAGGGAAGGCGCCGCCGACAAGGAAGTGTGCGCCGTCATCCCCGAGGGCGCCTTCACCTTCAGCGACCTCAAGCAGCGCAAGGCCGAGCGGAGGGCGCAGCGGGCGGCGGAGCGCCAGCGCCAGCCGCCCGAGCAGAAGGAGGAGGAGCCCTTCGTGGTCACCCAGAAGGAGATGGCGAAGATCCTGGCGGGCAACCCCGTGCCGAAGGAGGAGAAGAAGAAGAAGAAGAAGAAGAAGAACCAGCGCCAGAGGAAGGCGATGCGCAGGCAGCATGAGCAGTTCCACGGCTTGTGAGCAGACAGACAGACAGACAGAAACACACACACACACACACACACACACACACACACACACACACACACACACACACACACACACACACACACACACACACACACACACACACACACACACACACACACACACACACACACACAGATATGTCGCCTTCCTCGACGGCAGACACGGCCAGCTACCCCTCGAGTTTCTTTGGTTCGCTTCCAGGATCTTGTTGCGCGCGGAGCAGAAGGAAAATGAATTCTGTTGTTGAATAATGATGAAAAGAAAAAGAAAGAGAAACAGGAAAAAAAAACTTAAACACGCAATAGAAGCGGGCGCGCGCGTCTGTACAGGTTTATGGAAATTTATGTACGTGTGTGTGCATATGTGTGTGCGTGTGTATTTGTGTGTTTCTGTATCTGTGCATGCGCTTGTGTGTCTGTATGTGTGTGTGTGTGTGCGCAAGAAAATTATATTCTATTCGGCTCAGATCAGGGATGCGCCACTTATAAAATCTTGATTGTTAGGTCTTTATTCTAGATTGGAAATATCTCATTTCAATAAAGCATTGAAATTCGTACAAGAAAACTTATTTGTATTTTTTTTTCCAAATACTAAATATCTGACCACGTGGAGCATAGGAAAATTCTCCATTTTTTTCTGTTTTTCTGTCGGTGTCTCTCTGTTTTTTCCCTCTCTCTCTCTGTCTGTTTCTCTCACTCTCTTTCTTTGTAAATCTGCCTGTTTCTCTCTCTTTGTCTGTCTGTATCTGTTTGTCTCTCTCTCTCTCCCCATCCCTTTCTCTCTCTTTGTCTGTCTGTCTGTCTGTTTGTCTTTCTCTCTCTCCCTCCCCGTCATCCCTTTCTTTCTCTCTCTTTTTCTGTCTGTCTGTCCCCCTTTCTCTCTCTAACTTTATATCTTAATATAGCATAGTTCTATAACATTCTTTCATTGGGATGGTGTTTGTTTCAACGTTAATAAAGTTACTTTTATCTATTGCAACCTTTTTTATAATTCGTGAGACCCAGACTCCTTTACAAATACTTTATTTTATCTTCACAATTCATCAAAGCAACATTTAAGACGACTGTGTCTCAGGTTTATACTCTCCTTTTCGATAAACAAAGACGAAATTAGATAAGAGAAAGATAAGTGAAACACGGTGGGGGTGTCCGTAGAGTTATGGCGAGGTTATGCAGCTCACAATAGCAAAGTAAACGTAATACATCTCACTAATCATTTCCACACAGACCTAAATACGCACGACACACACACACACACACACACACACACACACACACACACACACACACACACACACACACACACACACACACACACACACACACACACACATAAACACACACACACATAAACACACACACACACACACACACACATAAACACATACACACACACACACACACACAACACGCACATGCACATACATACATTTGCGTGTATGTCATCGCTTGTGTTAGTGAGAGTGCCATTGTTTGTTTGTGTGATTCCTTGCATGTATGTCACTACTTGTACGTATGCGAGCGTCTCTGTTTGCATGCTTGTGCCATCGCTTGTGAGAAAGAAACTGGAATCAGCAATAGTATATATATATATATATATATATATATATATATATATATATATATATAATATATATATATATATATATATATATATATATATATATATATGTATATGTATATTATATATATACATACATATTTATATATGTATATATATTTACATATATAAATCTTTTTATTACATATACTTGCATGTATATATGTATGTGTCTTTAAATTTTATGGAATTTTTTGCGACGTTTTGGCGACTATCTATGAAGATACATTGTGTTTTATCAGGATGTCATTTGTTTGCAAGTATCCTTTTTCTTGTGAAAGTGTCTCCTTGGTCTTTTTCTTATTAATTTATCTAAGTTGATTACAGAATCAGTATGAAGAAATTGTGAATCATTGGCTTACTGAACAAGGTGGCAATTTTGGGTTATGTTTGGCAAATCATTTACTAATATTGTGAACAGGATTAGGCCTTATATGGATACTTGTAGAACATCAAAGGATACAATATGTTTTGATATATTCATCCGAATTTTTACTGATCGGGTTCTGTTATTTAGATGACTTCTGAACCAATATGTATCAATTTTGTGATTTATTAGTTTCCTAATAAAGATTTCGTGATTGACACTATCAAAGGTTTGGATAAATCGCACAGTGCACATGCTGTCTGTCCCATTGTGATCTAGGAGAAAAACTGAAGACAATCCAAAATTATCACTGGACGCCCCAGGCCAAAAAAGTTCTCCCCTCCACATGGAGGCAAAGCTTCACCTGGACTGACCTAATGGCAGCAGTTCTTTTCCAGGGTCATCCAGGCACCCTGGAACACACAGACCAGACAAAAAGGTGCGTGGACGTGTAGAACTAAGTCATGAGCCCAGTGCAAATAACTCCAGCTGTCACTTAGAGCCAAGGGGTTAATATACAATCAGCTTAAGAAAAACAGCAGGTACTTGCTAAGAGCATGGACTCCCAAGTATTGACACAATGGCCTTGCTGTTCGGTTTTACAAACACTGTGGCGAGCCGGATGGCGAGAGGATTATTCCTCTTGCTTACACCTTGGAGGCTGGATGGCACCGCACTCAGTACACTTCTCCATCCTGCTTGGATTCTTCCAGATATTTCCTTCTCTTTGCTACTGCCTGCTGATAGGATGGATCCAAGGTATTTAACCCAATGACTTTGAATTATGTACTGTCTCCTGTTGTTTTTTATGAATATTGTTACATATAGATGGCTCCGTATGTGCTCAGCCATGAAGGAATCCCATGTGACAGTGCTTGATTTCCCCATTCCTTGAAAGAGTGAGGAAATATTTTCCCTTCCAGTACTATTAATATCATTATTGATATTATGATAATCAAATCATCAAAATTTTAATAACTTTAAAGACAATAAAATAATATAAAATGAGCTTTCCAAAAATCAAGCAAAAGGGGTGAACAGTGAAATAGGTAGGACTAATAACTGACTCCTGGGTAACTAAGCACTTGTAAAGACAATAAATGAACTTATACTACTGTAGGCATGGCATGAATCATTGCTGACTGGGTTAAAAGCCTCTACCCTCTTCAGTTCTACATCATCCATTCTAATGCTACCCTGTATCTCCTGTTCCTGCTCTGTACAAATCATTTATTCAGTCTTTGGTTTGCTTATTTTCACCCTTCAACTCTCCAGTGCCATTCTCCCTTCTGTCAGACTGTGCTATAACTTTTCTTTAGACTCATTCACCAAAACTACGTCATCGGCATACATCATGTCCCATGGTGGTCCCTCTCTTACGCCCTCTGTCAACACATTAGACACAATGTTGACGAGGAAGGGGCTAAGTGCAGAGCCCTGATGCAGCTCCAAAATTGTTAGTTACACGTGTTTCACTCCTCACTCATGTCTTGACACTTCTATACCTTTCCTTAATCAATCTTACATACTTTTCTAAAACTCTGCTCTCTCTCAAACATTTCCACTGCTGCTGTCTTGGTATCCTGTCATAGGCCTCCAAAACTATATGAATACCGTGTGAAGTTCTTTTCCCTTCTATCTATGCTATCATCTGCCTCAATACGAATGTTGGGTTTGTTGTTTCCTTGGGCATGAACCTAAACTGACCTCTGGATACTTCCATCTCTTGTCTCAGCCTCGGATAAAGTATTCTTTCCCATCTTTTCCATTTGGTAACAGCAATGTGCAAGCATGTGGTTATGAATTAAAATGTGCAAAATGTGCAAAAAAAGTTTTTTTTTTTAAGTGTCCAAACCTTTGATGTATTACTGTGCTGAGCCCTGCAGTTCTTCAGGCCTGTGTTTTCAAAATCTTTTCTTGGATATATAAGTAAAAGTCAAAGTTAAAGGTTGAAGAAAATCTTATAAATTTTCTTCATATAATTCAACTTAATAAATTCAAACATATTCATTTCACAGTTTACTGTGAACCTAGATTTTAAATGATCTTAATCGAATAAAATTTTAAAGAAGGATAACTTGACAATTTTACAAAATAATTCCCTAATTATAAAAATCATAATCACAAGATCCCCTTTTAGCCCACTGTTTTAAATTGAGAACTCCCCTCCCTCCTCAAATAAATCAAAGCACATTATCTATGTAATGATAAATTTCTGTCAACATTAACATAACATGTAAAGATGCATTATCACCAACATAAATATAATCCCAACAACACCAATTTCTCACACATTTTAGGCATTTCTATCACAGCAAAAGGTAGCAAGAGCTTCTCCTAATCTCAAGACTACCCTTCGGATGCGGGCAACACCTGTATCTTTCCTGACGCAGAGTAGAATCCGTTATTGGCAGTTGTGTAACGGACAGAAAGGTGGACCTCCTCGACTTCCATCTCTCCAAAGTAATAGTCTTGAAATTCCTGATTAACAAAAAAGGAGTCAATTACACAAGTCTATAGAATTATTTCAGTGCCTTCCATTTAGTAATATATAAACTGCAATTTCTATATGGGTCTTCAATTAATCATTCGGGTAAAAAATATAGGACTAATAAGTATAGAGCAGACAAGTCTCATGGAATCAACACAGCCTAATCATCATATTATAACACATTTGTAATAAACATTTAATTCTAATAGAAATCATCTCTACATTTCATTACTGAATAATAAAAGGAAAAAAAGAAAAAAAGAAATACAGAAAAAAATACATTATATATATATATATATATATATATATATTATATATATATATATATATGGCTATAGCCGTCATGCATATTTCGGTATTACGTCATAAACCACCCTGCTTCACTCTACCAAGCAAGCAGGCAGACCAGTTGTTATCTGCACAAACCCAGCCAGAAAGTTTTATCTGTTGTGTATATATATGTATATCAATTTAGATGTTTCAAGAAGGGAACCTCTCATTACATGATTAATTAACTGAATGTGGACTAACCTCCAAGATTTGTCGAGCAGAGAAAGTTTCACGGTCCCGCCCAGCCTTTGCTTCCGTGACTCCATCTGAATCTCTCCTAAAGATTGTATTCATCAGGGTTATGTGTAGCTTCACTCTTTCATACTGTTTGGTGACTAAACCTGCAAGGAAAAAAGGCATTTTACAACATTTTTCCAGATAAGCAAAAGAAAAAAAAATATGAAAAACTACAGTTTTGTAAGCCCATTTGACAACATTTCTACTGTTAATATGCTATTTAAAAAATAATAATAGTAACTAATGTTGTTCTCTACTACTAAAAGAAATTGCAATATTTCGCAAATAAATTTCAAATTTATAAAGAATTGCAACAGAACACGTAAAAATATTAATCATCCTATGACAATTAATATTAGTGCTAATTACCAAGTAACACCAACAATGATATAAAAAAGAAAAGAAAAAAAAGAAAAGAAAAGAAAAGAAAAGAAAAGAAAAAGAAAAAAAAAAAGTAAGTAGCCAATTCAAGCCTTACTTGCAAAAATCCTATAGATGTGAAGTTACATCCTATAAAATAAAGACCTATGAGAAATAAAACTATTGTTCAATATCTTTTCTATACACTCAATAGCCTATGATTTCACTGAATACACTGTATTGCATGTTACCCAGTTTCAAGCAATTCTGAGGGGGAAGCAGCATAAAATGCATAGATATTGTCAAGTATTCCACAATAACTGGACTTCATAAGCATTACTGCTATGCATGGGATTGAAAGATGTCACATTGTTGGTAAAAGATGCATCCACCAGTCTTTGGAATTGACCTCTGAGAATAACATATCTTCTAAATAATATAATTTGCCCTGGAAAGTTCTGATTACTTACTTCATGCTTCTTTACTTGACATCCTAATGTAAAAGCCAAATACTTTTTAAAAAATCATAAAATCTTACCGGCCTTAACAAATTCTTCAACCAGAGAGTCTGCTATAGTTTGGAGAGAATGTGACCAGCTTAGAGCATTTACTTGGCCATATAATACATCCACTTCACCTGGGTCATCATTCATGTATTCGATTCCTTTCATTTCTAAACGTAGTTTTTCTCCAGCCAAAAGACGTCTGGAATTTCAAACACTTGAAAATGTCTGGTCTTCACAAGAAAATTTTAAAACCTGCTGATTGCTGATGAGTTCTCTTACAATAATGAACTGAAATCACTGGTGATACAAGAATAACGAATTGAAACTCATAATAAAATAACATGATACTACAATATAGCATTTCATTTCGAAACTCAAACCACAAGTATAATTCTCTTATCAATATGCTGAATAACTATGTACTTTATTAAACAATGGACAACATCATTTCAAACTGTTCAAACATAATGTTACAGAAATCTCTCTTCAGTGTCAAGAACACAGCCATACCAACCTTAAAACATTTTCGGGACACGTATTGAGAGTCTCAACAGCCTGATGTCGTTCCCGGTCATCAGCAAGCACCATCACGCATAATGTTAAATGGAGCTTATTTGGGTCTTGGAATATTGATTCATCGACACCTCTACTCTCTCCACATTTCTCAAGGACTCCTTTCTGTCAGAGTGAAAGTTAAATAAGTAAAATGAATAAAAAATGTATATCATAATATGCAAATCTGGTAGTATTTGACAATTCAAATCAAAATTGTAAATCAATCTTTAGACTAATTTTGTATGATGTATTGTAACTATGATCAGGTTTTACAAGTACACAGATATAATCTATGATACAGCAAGACATATAATCTTGAAAACATTTATATATATCAAATATAAACTTTTTACATCCAATTTTTTTCTTAGCAACAAACATTTCCTTACTACAGACACAAGACCATAAACACATATGTATGTGGAAAATCACAAAGGAAGCAGACACACGCAAATATGTATTTTCTCACCTTAAATTCCAAGAATTTCTCTTGAATATTAGGCTTGTTAAAAGGTATTGACAGGAAATGAGTGAATGGCTGTTTCTTCCGAGCCTGATCCACCAGTAATTCAACTTTCATTCGCGCCTGACGCACAGTCTTCATATCCTTCCCAACCACCACTTGTTACATGTAAAATCAAAAAGAGCGCATCTCAATAAATTCAGGTAAACAAAGACAGTCTTTAAAAATTTAAAATTTAAACGGGTTCAACATACCAAGTTGAATCATCCTTAGCCTACTGATGCCAAAATTGCATGCACACATGTACTGTCCACTGTCATTCTAATTTACTAATTTCATTTACACACTGATGGTTTCAGAAGTCCAAAATCAAGGAGCCAAGTATTGGGCTTACCTGAGTTTGCGGGTATACCTAATAATTATGCTGTTATCATTATCATAGACATTATAACTATTATAGTGCTTTTGACATTACTAACAGCAATATAAGATACCACAAAATATTTCCAAAAATCGGAAAAGGGGTACACAGGTGAGATAAGTAGTACTCTTAAGTAGCCCTTTGGGTAACATATACTTGGAGCTATCTATGTGTAAAGACAATTACTAAAGTAAACTCACAGTCGGGTGGGATGTCCATAAATGCCATCCCATTTTATTCCTGCCAAGCATTCCTGGTGGCGTAGGTTGTAATACAGCTAACTGAATATTGCAAAAAAATAAAACATATGCCACAAATAATAGAATAGTACTTATCATAATTATTGCACTGAGTTATGGACTATCTAATGATATGATAAGAGCTTGTGCATAGATAACAGTCTATTACCATCTGGATATGAAATGACAAATACAGATGTAGTAAAATGGCAAAATAACTCTAAAATACTTATGCAGAAAAAAATAAATAAATAAAACATTGCAAAGGGGAGGCACAGAGTCTTGTCACCACACTGATGCTCTTGTGCGCCTGGCCTACACGCCACACACCCATGAGTCTTACTGCTCAAGTAAGCCTGGATTTTGAGCTACTTGCGGGCAGTGAAGCACCCAGATTCAAGGGGTTAATAGTAATAACAATAACACCAACAATACTAAATAAAAATAGTATTAGAAATTAAACTTTTCCCCTAAAATACTGAAGGAAAGGGGTAAAACAGATGAGGTCGTATAAACATAATAATTAAATCCTTAGTGAAAAAACAGTTGTGAGGCCCAAGTGTAAACAAAATAGCAAAAACAAAACTAGAGTGGACTGTACACATAACCAGATGTCAGTGAGTTACAAGGACAAAATACGTATGAAATTACCCATTTCTCTTTTGATATGCTGATCACATATGCATCTGTCTTGTTATCTTGTGATGCACTGACTACATAACATATAAAAAAAATAGCTAATTAACCAATAATGCTTACTATAAAAATAACAACGGCCTGCTACTAATAACAGCAGTAATACTACTACTTACAGTAATATTAATGTTATTCATGCAAAATCGTAATGACAGTAACAGTACTAATATCATCATCATCATCATCATTATCATAATCATCATCACAGTAATAAGAAGAATGATAATAAAAGCCTAATACTCATAATAACAATCATAATGAATATAATAATGATAATAACATTATTCACAATACCATTGATAATGAAAACAATGAAAATGATGATAATAATAATAAGATGAAATATAACTACCAATAATGGTGATAACAATAATGATGACAGAATAATAATCACATGACATTATCATCTCTATCTTTATTATCATTATTAGTGAGTGGGTGACATGGTGACAGACAGAAGTTTGATGTTGTCAGTACTCTAATCAACAACCAGTGAGTCAATCTTCTAGTCTATGTATCTGCTGCTAATCCCATGTCATTAAGTATTCCTTTACCAGCCTTGTTTTTATATTTAAATAACAGTAGGTGCTTACAGTTCTGTGAAAAAAAACATTAAGTAATACCCGCTTCTTATCTCTTAAAACAATTCAAACATGTTTAAATTTTCAAATACAATATATATTATTACCAATATCTCCGACTTGTCCTTTCCCGGGTATATGAATATTTGTGTATGTGTCCATTTCAATTCTTTTTTTTGTAGCTCCCTTTGCTCCAATGATGTATGAAAAATATGTGCTGAAATGAAAACAAAAATAATTAGAGATATACATAACACTGATCCGAAATTACATTTATTCTTGACATCTATAAATGTGATAACATTTCATCATGTATTCAGAACTCCATGTAATAAATACAAATCTATTCAATACCATCTTCCTTGATATTATTTATCAATTTGATAAGGCTACATAAATACATTTATATCATATTTGCAGAATTACAGTAATTAAAAAAAATAAAATATCATATTTACAGAAATATAGTCATATATAAAAAATAATTAATTCTTACATTTATATGGAACTACTTAAACAAACATTACCTTGGAACTGGAATTGAAGTTTGGAATTTTCCATTCTTCAGCACTTCTACTTGAATTTCAGGATGTTCCCCACCACACT